TGAGGCAGGACAAAAACTTGAACCCGGGAGGCAGAGGTTGCAGTGAGCTAGGATTGTGCCACTGCACTCCAGCCTGGGTGACAGAGCGAGACTCCATCTCAAAAAAAAAAAAAAAACCCTTCCTGGGCCTTCCTGTTGCTCCCTGGGATCAACACTGGACTTGCAAGGCTCAACGTGTGCTGCCCTTTTGCGCCTCCAACCTCATCTCATGCCTGTCTCCCGCCTCCCCTGCTCTGGACTCCTGCCACAGTGTTTCCTGTGTTTCAGGCCCGCTGTGGCTCTTACCCTGTTCTCCACTGGTTGGTTGGCCAGTTGGTGTGCTTTCAGTCTTCAGATCTGAGCCTCAGAGACACTTCCTCGGGGATGCCTGCCTGGACTCTCCTGTACAGCACTGTCCAAGGCTGGGCCAGATCCCTGTGTTTCTAAGAGTTAACTCAGTTTGCAAGCGCACATTCATCACAGTAACAGCGCAAGCAGTGGCTGGTTTTGCTTTTTTGTTGTTGTTGAGATGGAGTCTTGCTCTGTTGCCCAGGCTGGAGTGCAGTGGCATGATCTCAGCACACTGCAACCTCCGCCTCCCAGGCTCAAGCAATTCTCCTGCCTCAGCCTCCTGAGTAGCTGAGATTACAGGTGCCTGCCACCACGCCCAGCTAATTTTTGTATTTTTAGTAGAAACAGGGTTTCACCATGTTGGCCAGGCTAGTCTCGAACTCCTGACCCCAGGTGATCTGCCCACTTTGACCTCCCAAAGTGCTGGGATTACAGGTGTGAGCCACTGCACCCAGCCTTGCTCACTGTTTTATCCTCAGTCCACCACATGATTCCAGGAGCCTCTTCAGTCTCTGAATGTGGTCAACAATTAATGACACCTTTTATGTGTCAGTCCCCAGGCTGGGGGCCCCAAGTAGAGTGAGCCATTTCCCTGCCCTAGACAGGTTAAGTTAGGCTTCCAAGGGGTAGAGGAGGGGAGGGCTCTGCCTAAGCTGTGCCCTCACCAGCATCTTGGGCTTCCTGTGCCCTAGCTTTGACAGTGAGAAGGCTGGGGACCGGGAGGTGCAGAGGACAATGCTGGAGCTTCTGAACCAGCTGGATGGCTTCCAGCCCAACACCCAAGTTAAGGTAAGTATTAGCACTCCCAGGCGAAGAAGATGAGGCTCAGAGGTCAGGAGCTGTCAGGCCCCCAGCTAGCGAGTGATGGAGCTGGAATGAGAATTGGGATCTGTCTTTAACATCCCATGTGTCTCACCTGCACTCTGGGGGCTGCCTCTCTGCCTTTTTTGACCGTGTCTGCCCATCTGGGAGCACCTTGCTCCTTTGTTCAAGTTGTGGCTTCTCTTCCTCAGGTAATTGCAGCCACAAACAGGGTGGACATCCTGGACCCCGCCCTGCTCCGCTCGGGGCGCCTGGACCGCAAGATCGAGTTCCCAATGCCCAACGAGGAGGCCCGAGCCAGAATCATGCAGATCCACTCCCGAAAGATGAACGTCAGGTGAGCAGGGGCACAGGCAGGGCACGGAGACCTGGACAGGCGCAGGAGGAGGATGTCTCTGCCGCGCTTCTCTGTACTGAGCTTCCCCAGCCTCCACGACCACCACCTGCCCGGCCCCAGGCACACACAGCACCATTCCACACCCCACCCTCCATTTCTCTCCAGTTGCCTGATGTAGCATCTTGCCAGGGCCCAGGTCATAATTCTGGGTGCTCTGCTCCTTAGACTTCACCCCTCATCTGAAGGCACAGAGGCTGGAGGCACTCATTTTCCCTGCCTCACACCTCAGCCCATGAGCACAGGCCAGGCATGGCCGGGGCCAGATGGACTTGAGTTCAGATATGTATGACTCTCAGCAGGTGGCATGCCCTCTCAGCCTCACTTCTTATTTGGGACTTGGGGATGATAGCACCGATTTCACAGGGTTGTGGCAAGGATTAGATGTGACAGTGTCAAGCACAGTGCTGGGCATAGGATGAGGACAGCAGGGCCTGCTGAGCTGGGAGACCATCTTTTGTCCCCACATCCCCCTGCTCCCCTGCCTCATGCCAAGTCAGTCCCTGGAGTCTCAAATGCAGATTTCTAGAAGGTCAGAGCTCAAAAGACCCTAGAAATAACCTGGTATAACCTGCATTAACTTCCTCCCTTTGTCCCCCACATCTTGTACTGAGAAGAAAACAAGGTACATTGATTGGGTAAGGAACTCGCCTCTGATCTCAGGGCAACTTGACTTTGTTGCTTGACAGGGCCAGGGGAGGACATTTGGCCCCTCTGCCCACTCTGCATGAGCCACTGAGCCTGTGGTATCTGTTCTCTCCCTAGTCCTGACGTGAACTATGAGGAGCTGGCCCGCTGCACAGATGACTTCAACGGGGCCCAGTGCAAGGCTGTGTGTGTGGAGGCGGTGAGTGGTCAGGCGGGGTGGGTGCGTCGCTTTGTGCCTTCTTGCCCTCTCCCTGGACAGGATGGGGGCATTTGACTGTTGGAGACAGCTGGGGGAAGAGGCCTGAGCCTCAGGGAGCCAGGGAAGGCATTCAGGCATTCAGACCTAGACTCTGTTTGTCCCGGCTGTAGGGCATGATTGCACTGCGCAGGGGTGCCACGGAGCTCACCCACGAGGACTACATGGAAGGCATCCTGGAGGTGCAGGCCAAGAAGAAAGCCAACCTGCAGTACTACGCCTAGGGCGCGCCGGCCAGCCCCGGTCTCACGGCTGAAGTGCGCAATAAAAGATGGTTTAGGGTCCCTGTCGCTGCTTGTCTGCCTTCCCTGGGCTCTGGCTGGAGGAGTAGGGGCATGTGCAGGCGGCCCCTTCCTCAGGTGCTGCAGCCTGGAAACCCTGAGACAGCCGTGGGCCCCACACCACTGGTCAGGGTGAGGCTTTCTGGTGCCGTGCGTGGTGCTGCAGCTGCTGCCTGGGCCTTCATGCCCCTTCAGAGCCCTCTCTCCCTGAGCACCGCTCTGCTCTGAGCTTTCAGAGGCTCATGGGCCTGCAGTTCCTGCATAGAGGACCTAGATAGAAGCCACCCTTTCCCTTTTGGCATTTTGGTGTCTGGCACCAGTCCTTGCCTCCTGGTAAAGCCAGACTTGGGTTTAGGCTTTCAGCCTCCTTCCTCCTTTCCTGGCCCTGTTTCTCCAGACGCCCCCTTAGCTCTTTCTGTCCCTGTCTTTTGGCCAGAAACTGAGCCTGAACAGGATCCACTGGGAGCCCCCCTAGGACTGATCTGTCATGCTGTGCTCCCCTCCCCCAGTTTGGCCGTCTCTTCACTCTAGCCGGCCCCTTGCCTTCCCTGGGTGGCCCTGCTTGGCTTCCCACTGACTCCTCAGCCCCTGCCTCAGGAGGCCAGCAGCACAGCCCCTGACGTGCTTCTGGTTCTGTCCCCTGCCCTGGACTCAGTCAACCCCAGTCCTGCATTCCTGTTCCTTCTTCTAACCAGACGGCATTTGCTCCTGACCATGACACCCAAGTTCCCCCACAGGGACCACACCCACCGTGCTTTGGCTTCCTCATCTCCAAAATGGGGCCCCCGGCCTCTCCCAGTGGGCCGTGATGCTCGCACACACTGTCTGCCATCCAGCAGGGCTTGGCACCCTGGCTGGCAGCCCTGAGCACCTGCGTAGGTGAGGGGGGCAGCTGGCCAGGACGGCTGTGGTTCATTCCTTGGATCTGAGGCCAGGAGTCACTGGATCCTTGAGACAGTTATCCTACAGGATGTGTCGCAGCTAGGCGAAGCAAATACTATCATTTTAAAATGTTTTGCTGTTAGAAATATTGAGAGCTAAGCACTCCCAGCTAAGGACGTCACTGGGGTTTCTTGTCCACCTCTCCCACGCTCCATGACACCGCCCAGACTGCAGATCCCAGCCAGTGTACTATTGACAGTGGTCCTGGCTGGCCTGGGAGGGAAGAGGTGGACTGGGCACCCCCACCCACATTCTCTTGACAGGACTGGGGAAGCGGCGCCCTGTGCCTGGTGTTCTTATACTCCACACCTTCAGAAGAGAGGGTGTGTGGTTTTGAATAAGGGTCCCATATTATCTTTTCTTCTTTTTCTTACTTATTTTTGAGACGGGGTCTTGCTCTATCACCCAGGCTGGAGTGCAGTGGCGCGATCTCAGCTCACTGCAGCCTCCGCCTCCCAGGTTCAAACAATTCTCCTGCCTCAGCTTCCTGAGTAGCTGGGATTACAGGCACCTGCCACTGCACCTGGCTAATTTTTGTATTTCAGTAGAGATGGGGGTTTCACCATATTGGCCAGGCTGGTCTCGAACTCCTGACCTTGTGATCTTTGGCTTCCCAAAGTTCTGGGATTACAGGCATGAGCCACCATACCCGGCCTCTCTCTCTTTTTTAAGCGAATGAGAGCTTAATTAATTTGAGGCCAAACCTGGAGATGACTTTGTGGCTGGAGCTTCCTTCCCTGGTTACATTTTCAGTGAGGGGAAATGGGGGGCAGGTAGGGAAAATGCTGTGGTTTGCAGTTCTATAAAATAAGGACAGCACCCTAACTGGGTGTGGTGGCTCACACCTGTAAGCCCAGCACTTTGGGAGGCTGAGGCAGGCAGATCACAAGGTCAGGAGTTCAAGACCAGCCTGGCCAATATAGTGAAACCCCATCTCTACTAAAAATATATTTTAAAAAATAGCCAGGCGTGGTGGCAGGTGCCTGTAATCCCAGCTACTCGGTAGGCTGAGGCAGGAGTCATTGTTTGAACCCAGGAGGTGGAGGTTGCAGTAAGCCGAGACCGCGCCACTGCACTCCAGCCTGGGTGACAAAGTGAGACTCTCGAAAGAAAGGACAGCGTCCTGGGGTTGGTGGTGAGGGACTAAAATGGCACAGGGCCAAGCTGGTATAGGTGCTCCGTCATTATTGGAATAAGAAGCCAGGAAGACATGGAATGTTCAGAGACGCACTGCAGGGGTGACAGTTCAGAGACAGGCGACTGGCAGTGGCAGTGAGGAAGGCCCTGCGTGGCCATGGAAGGCCGTGCAGAACCAAGGCAGCCAGTGTGTGGATAATATTTATTTGTATATCTATAGAACAAATATTTACAGATACAAACGGAATCACAGCAAAGTTGCTATAAAACCACCCAGACCTCTCGATGGCCACTTCTGAAAACATCCATGGTCAAGGGCAGGGCCAGGCCTGGCTGTGGAGTGGGCCAGCTGAGTACCTGGGCATCAGCCAAGGGAAATGCTTGGGGATTATGGCTTCAGCACTCTCCCGGAGCACATTCCTGAGCGCTGACAACTCGGAGCCCTCACCGCCCCCACCTACCCCAACCCCAGTGGGGAAGGAAAGGGGCCTGAGCTAGGGAGAGCAGCCTGGGCTCGCTCTGTGCCTGCTCCAGGAGTCCCTGGCCCCTGTGCTGGCAGGAGCGTCCCTGAGCTGGACCAGGAGGCCTCTCTGGCCTGCGGCTGCTCCCTGCCCAGCAGGCTGCTGTTTGGCAGCCGGAGGTGACATGAGCTGCTGGTGCTGCCAGGGTGTGTTGACCAGGAATGAGCTCCCAGGGCGGGCAGCCCTGAGGAAAGGGTCTTAGGAAGCGCCTCCCAGCTCACTGCTAGAAGCTGAGGGCTGTCAGTGCTGAGTGGGGCTGGGATACACGAGCACCTGCCTCTCCTTTCTTTGGTTTAGAGGTGGGAAAGGAAGGGCCAGGAAAAGGGAGAGAAGCCGCCCCAGCCTTAGCCCCTAAGCCACCTGGGGACTGGCTGCGTGTGCAGAGGGGGCAGCAGGAGGTGGGCAGCTCCGGAGTTCCCTGCACCCTGGGATCCTTGGGCTGCTCTCACTCCCGGGGTCCCAGCAGGGCAAGGCCTCTGCTTAGGACCAGTGCTGCTGTTCCTCGCTGCTCACTCCGGGAGGTGCAAGATGACAGGGTAGCAAGGAGAGGTAACCACAGCATGGCTGGGGACAGGCGTTACACTGGGCCCCGGACCCAGCACAGGGATCACAGTGTCGGTCTCGCACACACGCCTCTGGCCACATGTGCACATCACACACATCCACGCACATCTCCCTCCTGTCTGGTGGGAGGCTCATTCTCTCTCGCAGGCACTCGCCCTCTCTGCCTCTCACATAGGCAGTCACAGAGTGAATCCGAGCATCTTATTGCTGCAGGGGGCAGGGGCGTCAGGGCATCAGGGAAGGTTAATCCACGAAGATCGAGAACAGCACCATCACCACAATGCCCGCACAGAGCAGAAGCAGCTGCTGCAGGGAGCGCCTGTGGGGAGGGAACGGGGCTCATGGTGGAGGCATGGGCAGGGAGGAGCAGGCAGCGGCCAGGAGCCCCTCCCTCCTGAGCCTCTTAAGGGCCCTGTGAGTGGCAGTCCTCTTCCGCCAACAGGTCACTCACCACGGGTCCTCTTCTTCCAAGAGGTCAGGGAGCACGTTCACCAAGGCGATGTAGAGAAAGCCTCCAGAGGTGAAGGGCAGGACCCAGGCTGCCGTCTCCTCTGCAGCGGGAGAACACCCGACTGGGCACCCAGGGCACCGTGTATGCTCCCTGCCTCCCGGGCCTGGGGACCAGCGGTGAGGCAGCCAAATCCTTTGGCTGGTGCCCCTCTACCGATGCCACCCGCCACCACCACCCACCACGCCCGTACCTACTCCCTTGGGGGACTGGGTACAGATGGCAAAGCCGGCGCCCAGCAGGCCCCCCAGCGCTGTCGAGAGTTGCAGCTTGGCTGCGCTCCATCGGTCAAAGCCAGCCCGGAGCAGGATGGCAAAGTCGCCCACCTGAAGGGAGGTCCGGAGGTTCACCCTGCGCCCCAGCAGGGCCTGATACCCTGAGTGCTCAGGTACGATACACACACTGAGCCCTTCCCCACCCTGCCCCTGGGACTCTCATCCTGAGTATGGCAGAGATGGCAGCTGCAGGCTGCTGGGGTGAGGAGCTCCGGCCCTCACGGCCCAGCCCCAGAGTGCCACACTGGGAAGGCCCACCCCCAAGCCCTCCTGAGCTCCACACTCATGCTGACCATGACTACTGTGGGGGCCTGGGCCTCTGGGGGCCGCCCTACAAGCGCTCACCTCATGGGGAATCTCGTGCAGGAGGATGGCCATGGTTGTCAGGAGCCCGATCTGCAGGGAGGGGAGCCGTGGCTGCAGGGTCTGTGCTGAGGCCTGGGCACCCCACTTGCCCACTCATTCCACAGAGGTTTACTCTGCTCTGAGCTGGCCCTGGGTGGGCACTGTGTTGGCCACTGGAAATACAGCAGTGACTAAAGGGGACAAGGAACCTGCCTTCATGAAGCTAGCGGTCTAGAGGGGAGAGACAGGACTCACACACTCACAGGCGCTGGGAAGGAAAGGATGGACAGGGTGCCCGGGGGAGCAGGCCCCGGGACCAAATTTAGATGAGGAGGTCAGCAAAGGCCTGGTGGAGGAGTCCACGTAAGTCGAGGCCCCAAGGATGAGTCGTCAGCTGCTCAAAGCGTGGGCGGGAGAACATTCCAGGCAGGGGGAACAGTGTGAGGTGGGAAGGAGCTCGGCCAGCTGCAGAGTAGGCCGCCCCTGGGCCAGAGGCCAGAGGGAGGAGGTGGAGGAAGAAGCATCTAGGAGCAGGCAGGGTCCACGCCTAGCAGCTTGATAGAGGCACCCAACAAGGAGTGCTAGGAACAGGAACAGACCAGGGGCTCAGGATCAGAACGGTAGCGTCCAGGACAGCAGCAGGGAGGATGGGCATGAGGGTCTTAGATGAGGGCGCTGGCAATGGAGGGGCAAGAAGCAGAGACTCCAGACACAGGCGGAGTCCACATGGCTGCCACCAGAATCGCCAGAGCCCTACCAGCCCCAAGCCCCTCACCTTCTTGCTCACAAGGAAGCTGGCAGCCACAGCCAGCCCATGGGTGAAGTTGTCGATGGTGTTGGCCAGCAGGTTGAGGTAGCCACTGACCTGGGAAGGAGGGAAGGCAGGAGGCAGGGCTGAGTGGGACTGGCCACTCAGGGCTGTACGACTGCAGGGGCCCTGAGCAGGCCACTCACTTTGATGCTCCGGACCACAGCACCGAGGCCGGGCTCTGCGGCCGGCTGGGCCAGACAGTGGCCTCCATTGAGCGCAGCGGCAGCAGCAGTGGGGTCTTTGTTGGGGGCCTAGGGCCAGGAGAAGGAGGGAGAGGTGACATTAGATGCCCCCCACTCAGCCAGGGCAGACAGAAGGGGAGAGAGAGATGGAAAAAGAGAGACAGGGGGCCGGGCGCAGTGGCTCATGCCTGTAATCCAGCACTTTGAGAGCCCAAGGCAGATGGACCACCTGAGGTCAGGAGTTTGAGACCAGCCTGGCCAACATGGTGAAACCCCACCTCTACTAAAATTACAAAAATTAGCCGGGCGTGGTGGTGCACGCCTGTAGTCCCAGCTACTCGGTAGGCTGAGGCAGAAGAATCGCTTGAACCTGGGAGGTGAAAGTTGCAGTGAGCCGAGATCATGCCACTGCACTCCAGCCTGGGTGACGGAGCAAGACTCTGTCTCAAAATAATAATAATAATAATATTTGGGAGGCTGAGGTGGGTGGATCACGAGGTCAGGAGATCGAGCCATCCTGGAAAACATGGTGAAACCCTGTCTCTACTAAAAATACAAAAGTTAGCTGGGCATGGCGGCGCGCGCCTGTAGTCCCAGCTCCTCGGGAGGCTGAGGCAGGAGAATCGCTTGAACCTGGAAGGCGGAGGTTGCAGTGAGCCGAGATTGCACCACTGGACTTCAGCCTGGGTGACAGAGCGAGACTCCGTCTCAAAAAAAAAACAACAAAAAAAAAACAAAGACAGGAGCCCCTCTTTTTTCTAGCTAGAATTCTCTGCTACTCTATCAGCTGGGTGCCCCCAAACTCAACAAACCTTCCCCAACTGCTGTCACCATCAGGCTACCAGAACAAGCTACATCAGGGGCTAATGCTGTCACTCCCAAGGAAGGTGGCCCAGCCTCCCGCAGCTCCCAGGGGAGGGCCAGGAGACCCCTCTTTTCAGGGCTCAACTCAGAACCTGGGCCTCCAGGCCCCAGGCACCACCACAGAACAGAGGCTGATATATCCAGGCCCTTGGGTGTGGGGCCCACCTGGCTGGTCCTCTCTGCCTTGCTGTCCAGGAACATCTTCTCCAACGCCAGGAAGGTCAGGATGCCAGCAATGACCCATAGCCCCAGCTGCTGCTGCTGCTGCAGGCTCTGCCCCTCACCACCTGCAGGGGGCGGCAAGGCCAGGCCAAGCCAGGGCCGTAGGAGGTGGCCATTTGGAATGGGATCTCATCCAGGGCACCAGGGCAGTGACAAGGGTGGGTCGGGCAGCTGGGGCCTAGAACTCCCACTAGGGCCAGGGCCCTGAGACCAGGATGATGACCCTCCCTCCCTCCCTCCCAGGCAAGCTCCTGCCAGATACCCAGAATCCCTCTCCTGGTCATCCTGGCCATCCCTGGGCGTGGGCACCAGGCCCCCACTCCTGGCACCGTCTTGCCCCTGGCCTGTGGCCTCACTCACCAGGGCCGGCGCTGCACGTGTAGGCCCAGGCTTCGGGCAGCAGGTGCAGAAACACATTGCCCAAGAGTCCCCCCAGGGCGAAGCTGAGCAGCTGCTTCAGGCGCCAGGCCCCAGCTACAAGGGAGAGATGTGGGATCTGGGGGCCGACCCGCTGGAGCTCCTGGCCTGACCTCCGTCCCACTCCACTCACTGGGCTCTTCCTGGGCCTGCAGAAGGCTGGAGATGGGTGGCTGCTCTTCCTGGGCCCCCCACCTCACAGCAGAAACACCACACCCTGCCAAATGCCCATAGGGCCACCACCACATCATGGTGAAGAGCTGACAGGTCCCAGCTCCCAACCCACTAGCTGGTGACCTTGGCAGATGACTTTGGAGACTCAGTTTCTCCATCTGTAAATTGGGTCTTATGGGAATTATTATTTTATCTTTTGTTTTGAGACAGAGTCTCACTCTGTTGCTCAGGCTGGAGCACAGTGGCGTGATCTTGGCTCACTGCAACCTCTGTTCAAGCGATTCTCCTGCCTCAGCCTCCTAAGTAGCTGGGATTACAGGTGCGTGCCACCACATCCGGCTGATTTTTATATTTTTGGTAGAGATGGTGTTTCACTATGTTGGCCAGGCTGGTCTCAAACTCCTGACCTCAGGTGATCTGCCCACCTCAGCCTCCCAAACTGATGGGATTACAGTCGTGTGCCTTTTATGGGCTCTTATGGGAATTAAATGACAATATGTATAGCAAGTGCTCAATAAGTGGGAATTTTTCTCAGCTGCTGTCACTCAGAAAAGTGGCAGAGATTTGGGGACTTGCAGCATCCAGAGTTGGAAGTCGCCTGCCTGAAAGCCATGTCCAACCCTTTGGCTTGATAGAGAAACTGAGGCCTAGAGGACAGAGGCAGCTGAGTTTGGGGTGGGATCCCAGGGGAAACTGCTATTTCCTGGCTGGGTGACCTTGGGCTGGTCAAAGAACCTCTCTGTGCCTGTGCATCCCCACTTGTAAAATGGAACTAATAATCCAAGTGCTCCCTGCACTGACCTCGCAGGGCTGTTCTGAAGGGTGAGCACAGGCCTGACTGTCGCCCGAGCAGGGTCACAGCCGCCCTCAGCTCAGTGCCTGGCACAGAGCTGCTGGGTAACTATCTGGTAAGTGAATGATTCCTGAGCATCCAGCAGGCAGCACCAGCCTCTGGGATGCTTGTTTCTAACAGATTCCCAGGGCCCTGGTCCACCCCTCTTGGGTGGGGGATAGGCACATGCATTCTTAGCAGCTCCCTAGAGCTCTCCTGCGTGTTTTGTTACATGTTATTTATGAACGGGCAGTACATGCTTCTGGTACAAAAGGGTAGTCAGGGCAAAGCTCCCACCCGTGCCTACATCCCCATCTCCTGGACCCCCTCCCCAGGGGCAGGCCCTGCTACCAGGTGCTCATAGCTTCCTGGGGAAGCCAGAACCGGCCACCCCTGGCTAGATGACTCCTGAGAGTACCAAGGGGAGAAGTTCTATTCAATCCTCTCCCTCCATCTCAGACACTCTGTGACCCGGGGTCTCCTAAGAAGAGCAGCAGCGTGCTTCCCACACGCTGGCCGGCCCTGGGCGCCATCGGAGAGCTACCCACCTTCTGAGCGCAGCATGGTCCCCATCTCTAGGGGAATGACGAGCAACGGGAAGACCCCACTGAGTCCCACCATGAGGGAACCCAGGAGGGAGCAGATCCAGGTGTCCAGCCGCTCTCCGCTCAGCAGAGCCCCCCAGGACTCGCTTTCCTTGTTGTCCAGGCGGCAGGCCGTCGCAGTCCCCCGGCTCCGGAGGGCCGGGTGGGAACCCCCAGCCCTTCCCAAGAGCTCCAGGGCAAGGGCGGTCAGGAAGAGGAGCCTTGGGCCCGCCATGCCACAGCCAGGGCAGGGACATCCAGGCATGCCACGTACTGAAAACCACAAAGGCCACCTACATGAGCTGCCAGCCTTGGCCGCACACCTGCTTAGGAAACGTGGCGCCTCCCTCCTCCCTCCAAGGGACCCTGGCATCCACCCTCCTGCTGTCCTTGCCAGAGCGTCTGAGCATCCAAATGCTCGGTGCACAGCAATGGGGCCCTGTGTCTCCACGCGCCACTCCCAATCACCGCGTATTTTTTCCTTCTGAGCAGCTCCAGACTGTGTCAGCACCTCCGCCTGAGGCTACACTTTCCCTAATGACAGGGCGAGGCGCTGGCTGGCTCTCCTCAGCCACCGGCGGCCCGGCCCAGTCTGGTATCTCTGGCTGCCAGGGGAGGCTCTGCCACCCGCGACACCCCAGAGACTGAGGCTCCCCTTCTAAGGGCATGGGGTGGATTCAGAGAGACACACGTGGAGAAACTGAGCAGCTGAGCCAGGGCAAGACCATCCACGCTTCTTCCTAGGACATGAGACCAATGTCCCCGGGGCACTGACAGCGACAGGAGGTGGGGCTGATGAAGAAGGAGCCTTTAGCCAGGGGATGCCTCTCCCATGCAGAGAGCAGACTGTAGAGCCCCCGCGGTGAACTCTACACTGCACTTTGAGCTGTCTGACTCTGGGCACATCTCTGAAGCCCCCTCCCCGTCTGAACCTCAGTGCCCTCATCTGCAGGACAGGGATCAATATCACCTGCCTCAGCTGTGAGGGCGAGGTAAGCCTGAAAGTGCAGGTGGATGTGCATGAGAAGGCGCAGAAGCCTTGCCTGTGCCAGGGAAGGCCTGGAGCTCCCTGCAGCAGGAATGTGCCCAGCCGGCCGATCACAGGATGTGGACGTGAGTCAACCAAGCGAGAAGTTCCATCTGGAAACTCGGGCATGAGGTTTAAATGTGGTCTGCCCTGCCTCAGGCTGGCTGTGACCTTGAGCTAGTGACGTCCCTGCCTCAGTTTCCTCACCTTCTGATGGAGATGGGAGGGGAAGAAAGCAGCTGCCTCTGGGTGGTGGCAGAGATGCCCATCTCTAGGACCTCCAGGCCTTAACTAATCAGGCATACTGATGAAGCCACCGGGGCTCCACTGGGGACCACAGGCAAGACTGGGCCAGGCCGAGGCGGTCACGCAGAGGTGAGGGGACCACCGGTTAGCGGGAGAGAATACACTGAGAGTCCGAGGGGAGAGGAAAGGAGAGAGTGAGAGAGCCAGAGAGAGGCGGGTGGGACGCTGAGGGGACAGCGAGGGAGGGATGGGGCGCGGGGCGCGGAGCGATGAGGGAGAGGAGGCCGAGGTGGGCAAGCCTGACTCCTGGGTCCTGGGAGCCGGCCCAGGTCTGATGAGGACCAGTCAGACGGGGCGAGGGATCGGCCGGGTCCGTCACG